TCTGACCGTATGAAACAGCTGAACAAGACAACCATTTGAACTTGAACTAGCCAACTTAAAGGGACAGTTCACTCCAAAACAAAAATACATATTTTCTACTTATCTGTAGTGCTATTTATCAATCTAGATCAGTCATACGTAACGTGCAGCCTGCGGGCCAAATCTGGCCCGCGATATGGTGGCAGGTGGCTTACCCAGCTGTTTCCTAATTCACAATAAAAATAAACTGATTCACACTGGGATTTTATTTTTCGCAAATATGGTACCAGAGTGCATCAAAGATATCCAAATAGAGCTTGTTTAAAATAAAAAGTGTCAGGGGAGGATCCGCCTGGACCCCCCGACAGTGGTCCAGGCTAAGCCCCAAATGTCCTCAAATCCAAGAAACGCCCCTGCATACACCTGACCTACGCGTGTTGCTGCAGCTGGCCCCTGGACTCAGGTCATTTTGCAAAAGTGGCCCCCAGGCAAAGCATGTTGAGTATCCCTGATCAAGATTGTTTTGGTGTGAGTTGCCAAGTGTTGGAGATAACGGCTGTGGAGATGTCGGCCTTCTCGCCAATATAATGGAACTAGATGGCACCCGACTTGTGGTGCTCAAAGTGCTAAAAAAATACATTTGAAAACTCAACAGCAATGTCTCTTTCTAGAACTCATGACCTGATTACTCAAGATAATCCACAGACCTTGTAGTCAACAGTTTCATATTCAGTAGAAACTACTTTCTTCCTACCGAGATACACCCTACTGTGCAGATAGAAGCATGTATCTGCTGCTAGCTAACCTAGCATCATTGAGCTGGCTAATGTTAAAGCTCAGCCGAGAAGGACGCCATTAATGTTTACATCTTGTGCTGTCACTAGCACGAGCCTTTCGTTCATGAGTCAATGCACGCTTTCTGCTATCTAGTTCCATTGTAATAGAGAGGAAAACATGGATTTGGGGGTGAACAGTCCCTTCAAAGGATAAGGCTGGTGATATCCTATATTTTTGTTAATGCCCGTAAGTCCTGTGAAAACAAATAATTCATCAGTCCGTCTCTCAACACTTTCTCAGCTCCCCAGTCTCTCTACAGCTTTCAGCACCAAGCCTTTCCATTCTTACTGAAGATATACATTTTTGAAAACAGGTCACATATATATAGTTCCAGTTTAACAAGGATGTGAAGTTGCCGAAAACAGCAAGGAAGTGCATATTTTAGCAAGCGTCGCTAAAACAGCAGTAAATAGTGCTTTGTGGTAGTGAATATTTCCAGCCGCAGATTTGTTGCAGCAGTGAGTATTTACAGCAGCAGGACGCTGTATATGGGATTCAATCAAAATAAACTAGAAGGGCTGTTCATGGTAATGAACGAACATATCAGCCGGTGCAACAGCGTGGCTCACTGATGTGTTTTTAATGGGCTTTGGACAACAATAGAGGTCTGTGACAGAGGGAATAAGTTAAACTGTATCAGGCTTTAGATACACAAGCAATACTTGTTAGGAGCATTAAGTCATTGTTTAGGATTTTTTGATATTAACAAAAATATAGAATATCACATGCCTGATCCTTTAAAGGAATACTTCACCCCCCAGATGATCAATGATCATCACTGTTTGAATCGCATGCCTCTCTGGCGAACTAAGGGTGGGAGTTTGCTAAGGGTTCACACCTGCCCTGTTTGGTTCACTTCAATAGAACTTAAGTTTGTTTACCCCCTAAGTGCAGCTCGTTTGGGCAGGTGTGAACACAGCAATCACACTCAGGTGCGCACCAAAACAACACGACCGAGACCTTCGTCAAGATATGGTCTTGATCCGGTCACAAACAAACTCTGGTGCGGTTTGTTTGTGGTGAAGTGTGTTCCGACCTCTCTCCGAACCAACTGCAGTCACATGACACATTGTTTGGGTTAAACATGAGCATGTTACAGTCCTGGAGGATTATTAATGTGCACCTCCTCCTGTACTGCCTTAATATGCACATTCAGCACATCCAATGCATCAAAACATTGTTTTCTAGTTGGAGCCGCGCCTCATTTTCAAACTGCATGGTTTGCCTAAGGTAACCAATGCAAGCAATATAGTCCATGATGACCGGCGCTAAAATCAACCTGTGTAGTTGTCCCTCCATTGGAAAGTGTCACATTTATCTTGCAAGTGTACTCTTCTTTAACGTTTAACGCATTTGATCTGGTCCACTTGTAAATGCTGCCGTGAGAACATGAACCAACTCTAGGAAAACCTTGTAACAAAATTAGTCCCTGATTTGGACCAAAACAAGGGAACTCCAGGTCTGAAAGAATCCAAAATGGAGAAAATTGTTGATGCAGTGAAGTCAAAGGTGACAGCTTATAACAACAGCTAAAAAATATCAAATTATCCATTTACAAACTCTCACACAACTTGTGCAGTATAATCTAAGTTTCATTTATCCAGTTGTATGCTCAGTACTTCCCAAACAGACAGCCCTTTCTGATGGGGAACTGAATAGAAAGTGAAACTTATCAATGCTCTCTTCAAAGCCAGACTCCATTGACAAAATTTTACCTCCCTGAACACAGGAGTTGCTGTTCTATTGCTACTTCAATCAGTTAGTTTGTTTGTTATTGTGTGACTGTTTAAAGGGTTAGTTTGTATTCAACACAATAACTCAACCAAACTAACTAACTAACTGAAGCAGCGGTAGACCAGCAGTTACTGTGTTCAGAAACAACAAAACAAAATTACTGTTTTTGTCAAAGGTTTCTGGTGGCTTTAAAAACAGTGATATTATGGCTGAATCTGAACATACCCTTTAAAACAGCAAAGGCACACATTAACACAAACAAAGTAACAAATTGGCAGGGGTAGACCAGCAACCCATGGTTCAGTGAGGTAGAATTACCCTTTTTGTCAGTGAAGTCTGGCTTTGAGGAGAGCATAGATAAGTTTCACTTTCAGTTACCTGTTGGAAAGGGCTGTCTGTTTGGGAAGTAATGAGCGTACAACAGGATAAATGAGCCTTGGATTATACTGCACAAGTTGTGTGAGAGTTTGTTAAATGATGTTTTGATATTTTTTGCTCTTGTTATATGGAGACCTCTGTGTCTGAAATTCCTCAAGAATTTTCTTTGTTTTTGGATTCTTTGTTCACCAGGCATGCATTTCAAATAGTTTACTTCATGAATTCAAAGCAACAGCAGGTGGGTAATTGATAAACAAATGGTCATTTGGGGGATGAAGTATTTCTTTAAGTCTCCAAATTTATATACAGTTCAATCGCCTCCCTCTATTTACTTTGTGTCCACTTCTTTTCTTTCCTTTCTCTCATTACCCCTAAACTTCTTGTTTCTTTTTTTCTCCCTCTCTGTCTCTCTCCCATATGGTGACACGGTGAAACCACCAAATGTTCTTTTCTTTTTTTCCCCCTACATCACACATGGATCCATCAATCAGTCTTTGGGCCATGCAGTGGCTTGTGCATGCACAAACACACACAGATGCTGATCAGCCTTGAATGTGTGAGTGAGTGTATTCATCTGTTTGGCACTTCTCTCTGACAGGGATGTTCTGGCTCCTGCCACCAGCTGGATTTGATTTCCAGACATGTACTGCTGCTCGTGTGTTTTTACGAGCACAAGTGGGCATATATCTATGTGCGTGTGTGTGTATTGATAAATCGTCTCATACCAGCCTGTATCCTCACTGCAGCCGCAGCTTAACCTTATTTTTAACTGCCTCATATGTCCTTGGAACAAAGGTTATTCTGTCATTGCTTCAAATTCCTATAGTTGTGCATTTGTGTGGCCATGTTGTCCTTGAGAGTAGTTGTGAGGGTGTATGTGTCTATGTGGGAAAGTCTAAAAGGGATACCTTGACTGCCGCAGCTAAGTTAAAGTGCAGCATTTTGAAGGAAAGGGCAGCTCATAGCCAACGCTCTGCTCGCTCTGCCTCCGTCTGTAAATCTGCCAGTGAAAACCTATTAATTATCTCCTAGAAGGACCTGCTAGCTGGCTGGCCATCACTAGCTGTCACTTTTTATGAGTTTTCTCCTCTCTCTGCTGGTGCATTTTGTTGAAGGACCGTGCACCAACTGCAACATTTAGCTGCGGAAAACCTCCTTTGCTTTTCATGTGGGCACGGGCATGACTAATGAAAACAGGTTTTTAACTTAATCTGTCAGCTCGCTTCTGCTGGATTTCAAGAGGGCGGTGTATTGGGTTTCGAGGTATATCATAAATTAACTCCCTGTCTTTCTCCTTGCCATTAACCCATCCTTACACCTTGTCCTAATTTGGGTGATTAATTTTAATCAAGGTTAATGAATTTCTCAATATTTCATAACCGCTGCAACTTTCAACCCACTCTGTTCCCCCGGCCCGTGAGTAGTGTAGGGCGAGCGTGTCAGGATGATTAGTGACATCGTCATAAAATGCTCCCGGTGGAAATAGTGCTGGGTTCCTCTCATTCAGAGGACTTGCAAACTGCCTTTTCAAAATGATCACATAGTGGTAACAGGAGTCGGGAGGTTCCTAGTCAAGGTAAAAGTGTTGTATTTTGAAGGACAGGGCAAACAGTTTTCTCTCTGCACCTCCGTCTGTAAATCTGCCAGAGGAAACCTATTAATTATCTCCTAGAAGGACCTTTCAAGCAGGCTGGCCAGTGCTAGCTGTCACATTTTATGAATTCTTCTCTACTGGTGCACTTTGAGGATGGTTTCTGCTCCAGTATTTGGCTATAGAAAAGTTCTCCTGCAATTCAGCCCAGTTTTATGACCTCTTGGATTTCCAGGAGAGGCAGCTGAAGGGGAGAAAAGGATTTGGCTTTGTTGAGGTTGTTCAGAGCTGCAGTACTATTTTTCTTCTTCTTTTGATAGCTAGTTAAGCATAGAAGCCAACTAAACTAAGTGTTGTGAGTGGAGGCAAGGCATAAGTCTGCTGGGAGAGCGTTTAGTTGTTCTGATTTATTTGTATTTGATGTTCTTTCTCTGTGAGATTTTGGACACGGCTGATGGGTGTGGGTTTGTTTTGTATGCAGGAGAGTGCCAAAGCTGCCCTGAAGATGAAAGACTGCCAAATGACTGACCGCGCAACACAGACAGAGCACATGGGGCCAGAGGTGAGATACACACAGACCACACACACCCTCTGTCTTTTGCTCTGCCAGACACAAACACACAAACAGTGCACTGTCGCACTGGAAATGTGCTTTATCTCAGAACGCCTGAGTCATTAAGATTGCAAATCACTAAATGAAGCTCTGTTACAATAACAAAAATCTTCATTGCCTTCCTCCTCTATGCTCTTACTTTGTTGTCCTATCTGTGGCAATGTATTTTATGCTGAGCCGCAGCTGCCATCCCCCACCCTTCCTCCATTCGTTTCTTTCCCATCTCTTTAAGAGCATCTGTTCACATTGAGCTAAAGCTCTAATCCATCTTACTCATTCTAAAGATGTTGTACTGCAGTGACATTCATATTATAGTCCACTACCTGCTCTTCCCCTCCTTCCTCCAATTCCTGCAGTGCTGAGAGAGGGTGCTGTGCTGCTTCCTACCTCGGCCCTCGGTTGACATGGCCTCTTTGCCTTCACTTGGGGCTGACAGTATGGGAACGCAGCAGACTTAATGGATGACTGTCTAAAAATGGCTGCCTGTAACGGAAACAGGAGCAGAGTTTTGGGGTCTGTTTCTTTGTTTCCTTCCTTTAAAACACTTTTTTTTTTCATATTCTGGAAAACTTCTTTTATACCTCTAATCCTACTGCTTTTTAAGTTGGCGAGAAACATTGTTAAAGAGGGAAAGCTGTGTCATTGTTAGCGAGTGGGTGCACAATACCAACACTAACACACGCGCACATGCACACAGATAATGTTTGACTTTACTCATACAATGTCAAGTGCAAATTAACAGAACATAACAGAAATAAAACTTTCTCTCTGTGGATTTTCGTGAACATACTGCAGAACACCAAGTCACTTTTTCTGCAACAATGTTTTATTTTAGTAAAAGTAGCAATAATAAAGGCGGCACGGTGGTGCAGTGGTTAGCATTGTAGCCTCAATGCAAGAGGGTACCTGGTTTGGGGTGTTTGGTTCGAACCTAAGGGTGGGGAGCCCTTCTGTGTGGAGTTTGCATGTTCTCCCCGTGTCATTGTGGGTTTTCTCCAGGTACTCCAGCTTCCTCCCACAGTCCAAAGACATGCAGGTTAATTGGTGACTCTAAATTGCCCGTAGGTGTGAATGTGAGTGTGAATGGTTGTCTGTCTCTATGTGTGAGCCCTGTGATAGTCTGCTGACCTGTCCAGGGTGTACCCCGTCTCTCAAAAATCTTGTAACAGCAGCCGACAGATGAGTTTGGTGGAGTAAAAAGTACAATATTTGCCTCTGAATTGTACTGGAGTAAAAGTATAAAGTAGCATAAAATAGAAATAGTCAAGCAAGTACAAGTACCATAAAAGTACTGGAGTAAATGTACTTATTCTCCACTGCTGGTAATTGCCTTCACAGAGCATATAATTTATATTCTTTCACTTGAATAGAGGAGATTAAGACAATAAGTTACTTTAAAGCACCAGGATTTATCTACCAATATATGCACATAAGATGAGTGGATGTGTTGTGCCTGTTACAATCATGGTAAATCACATTGGCACCTTTATTTCCCTTCAGAAAAGTGCTCTTTCTATCACAGTGTACTCAGTCTGACAGTAGAGTAGAGATTTCTAAGGAAAGTCCTGTAATGTAACAGTTATGATTCTGCCCATTCACATTATGTCATTTATTAGGTCTGTTACCACTAAAGGAACTAAGCTTCACATTCTACATTTGCCAGACCTTTTTTGGAGACAGAGAGATTGAACAATGGTCTAGAGTGTGTGGTGTCTGACAGTAAACAAGAGAGTTTTATTGCCTTTAGATTTTCTGAACGTAGCTACATGAACTTCTCTTGTCCAGATCATCTCGACAGTGTCACTGCCTCCAAAAACCTGTTTTTATTCCACAATGGTGCAGCCTGTGTAGAATATCAAACTGCAGCAGATCAGTTGGATGTGTAGATTTTGGTTACTTTGCAACATCCTGGTGCGGGCGGAAGATCTGATTAAGGTATTCACAGTGTTCGGTGTGGTCCTTCTAACAGCCCTGAGGGCTGTTAGAAGGACCACACCGAACACTGAACTTAGAGATAGCTGTGCGAGCCCCCGGTTTGCAAACAGATTTTTTCAATGTCTGAAAAAAAAAAAAAAGGAATAAAATACAGCTTTCCAAACAACTAGAGATGAATAAAATAACAAAAACAAAAACCTAAATTAGAGACTGCATGTGTAACACATACCTGCCATGCTCAGATGACACTAAAGGGAGTTAATTAGCTGAATTAAAAGGTGTTGATGAATAAGAACCAGATGCTAATCTTAACTCTACCTCGCTGAAGTTATTAATAAAATTATAGCTGCTGCACAGCGATGGGTCGGGTCCGGGCATTTTTAGGCAATTCTGAGCAACAAGCAGAAGAACTGGAAGACATTTAGGAATTTAGCAACACAATATGCCTTTTGCATCAGCTGAGGCTTGAACTCACAACCTCACAACCAATTTTTGATAAATCAAAAATCTGAGAAACGTAGTTTTTGTAGGACAGTCTGAAGATTCTCTGTAGTAAGTTTGGTATCAATTGAGCAAAAATTGTGGGAGGAGATAGGTTTAAGAAGTTTTACAGTTTTTGAAAAAAAACAGAGTGATGAACTTCATAATTTTTAATAGGTTTAAATGTACAAAAGTTTCTTCAGTATTGGGGCTACAGTTTGATAGGAAGTTGTGAAGTTGTAGCACATATGGTTGATTTGTTATGAATTTTCAAAGTTTTGAACTTAGGCGCTTGCTGTAGCGCCACCATCAGGACTATTGGCTTGAGTTTACAGCTGAGGATATCTGGCATGAGACTGGACCTTTGTGCAAAGTTTGGTGAGTTTTCACCCATGGGAAGTATGATTTCCTCGAAAGAAGAAGAATACCTAGGATTACAATAGTGTCCTGGCAGCTTAGCTGCCCAGACCCTAACTATATTGTAGTTATTTATATGCAGTAAATGTGTCAGTTGTCAAAAGAAAATAAAAAGGTTAACATGCTTATGTTTTTTTACAAAGTTCTGTGTGGGCCTTGACTCCCTCAACTACAGTCTTAAATGCAGCACAGATCTAGATGCACTTTGCACAGTGCACTATTGACCAGGTCCACACAGGTGGGCTATAGATGGTGAATCTTGACAGCGAAATTGCAATGCAGCACTGGTTAGTGACGCCCCTCGCTTTGACTATGTTTCTCCTGCGGTGCAAGACGAGTCACCATTACAGGTGCAGGAAAACGCCTCACTGTGCCTCGGAAAAAAAAAGCCACTTTCCTGACTGCGTCTGCATGAAATTACAGTTTTGAATCATATGATAACTGTCATCATTCTTGCTTTATCAGGTTTTTCCCTTTCCTATGTTTAATTTTCCTCTCTGTGTTTCTCTTTCTGTCACTTTCGCACACATACACACACACACACACACACAGCCTTAGATATTTGTGTGCTGTGCTCCATTTGCCATCACTGACTAATGCATTTCTCATAATGTAGCCTGAAATGGCCTCACATAATTGTATATTTGTCGGCACTGGAGGCTAAAGCAAGCCAAGGTGTGGGTTTGTGCAGAATGTGTTAAAGTGCAAATTTGTATGCGTGCCCATGTGTTTGTCATTGCCTATGTGTATGCACTATGCAAGTGTGTGTGTGTGTGCTTGTTTTGTGAAGCAGCCATTAGTCCTGGCCTTGGACAGCAAAGTCAATAAAAATGCTGTTGAAGGTGTCAAAGTAACTTCAGTCAAATAGGTTGCATTTATACCTCAGACATTATAATTCACTCAATATTCTGCTAGTCTGTGTGTTTTTATGTGTTGTCATGCCTCACATGGCATAATGTGCACATTAGTATGGTGAGGCCCCCTTAGAGCATGTATTTAGTCAAGCTGCTTTGTTTTATTTAATAACTCTTCGCCAGAAACAAAAGGACAGTGTTTATAAAGTTGTTTGATACCATCAGTTCTGGTGATGTTTTTTCTGACATTCTGATTAATTTCAATTAATTTAATTAAAACTAATTTCAGACAATCACCTTGATTTGGCCCACCAGGAGGGTCGCCACAAAGATGCTCTTTCTTTGCTCCTACAGTACAGTATACACGAGGAGAGGTTTAATCTTTGAAGATTCACTCAATTATATCACCTCTCTGAGGTGAAGTGGTTTGATTAATTTGCAGGTAATCATTTGAATTCAAGTAGAGCCACTAAGTGTCTCATCTACTCTGCAGGTGGAAAACAGCATGATATTAGCATACCAGATACACGGTACTGGTCCATTCAGAAGAAGAAGGGCAATTCCCATAAATCCTGAACAAGCTCGTCACGGTGTTGGAGGTATCGTTGTATCCTCAAACTCCTTTAATGCACAGTTTCTGGTCAGGACCAAATAACCTTATCTTCCCAACACAGTGTGTCCAACTTTAAGAGTCTGGCCAGTGCCCAACAGTATGGCATTGCTATCTATTATAAAACCAGTTCCCAGCTATAGAGTCCTCCATATGCTCAGGCCCCTTGAGTAGATGGACTCTTAATTAGAGGAGCAGCTGGCTGCCCGCTAGCAAGCTAGGCTAGCAGCACAGGTGACTTAACTCAGCAGTAGCTACAGCATGTGCGGCCTGATTTTAGCCTTCCCCCCCTCCCCTTCCATGTGTGCCTGCCTGTGTGTATTAGACAAGGAGAGAGCGAGAGACAGACACTGAGTGTGTGTCGGTGTGTGTTTGTGAGCGTGTAGGAGATGCTGCGGCGTGGAGCAGGCCTATATAGGTTAGCTACCCCAGTGCATCGAGGACAGTCGGCTAGCAACAGAAAGTGTGTCTACAAGTGGGGCAGCTATTTCTACTGCTTCTGCCACTTCATGAGGTCGACCATCTCACTCATCCACTCTCCCTCTACCTCACTCTCCTTCTTTTCTGGAACGTCCTCCTACTTTCCCTCACTCGGTTGTCCTCCTCCTTCTCTTCTACCTGCTTTTGTTCGCTGATCCCTGAAAGTGCAGAAC